TTCTGCGGCAATGGGCGGTGTAAATAGAGTCCATGGATGGAAGGTTGGCTTCCGTGATGGTCTGGGCTGTGCACACTACCTTCTGTAGTTTCTTACGGTCCTGGGCAGAGCAGTTGCTGTACCAGGCCGTTATGCACCTGGACAGTATGTTTTCAGTGGTGCATCTGTAGAAATTGATGAGAGATCTTATGGACATGTCAAACTTCCAGAGCCGCCTGAGGAAGAAGAGGCGTTGTTGTGCCTTCTTGACTGTCACATTTACGTAGGAAGTCCAGGACAGATTGTCGGTTATCCTCACTCCGAGGAACTTTGTGCTGTTCACTCTCTGTCTCAGTTCCGTTGATGTAGATGGGGGCGTGTTCTCCTCCTTTCTTTCTGAAGTCGATGTTCAGTTCTTTAGTTTTGCCGACATTGAAAGATTGTTTTCATTGCACCATGTCACCAAGCCCTCTATCTCCCTTCTGTGTTTTGATTCATTGTTGTTAGATATCCGTCCCACTACAGTGGTGTCATCAATGAACTTGTAGATGGCCTTCATTCATAATTTGGCAACACTGTCGCTGATGTACAGGGAGTACGGCAGGGGGCTGAGGACACACCCTTGGGGGGCTCCAGTGTTGAGTGTTATTGTGGAGGAGGTGCAGTTATCTATCCTTGCTGATTGCGATCTGTGGGTCAGAAAGCTGTGGATCCAGTAGCAGAGAGCAGAGCCGAGACCAAGGTCACACAGTTTTGAGATCAGTCTGGAGGGGATAATGGTGTTGAGGCCAGAGCTGTAGTCAATGAGCAGGAGTCTGATGTAGGTGTCTTTGTTGTCCAGATGCTCCAGGGATGAGTGTAGGGATAGAGATACCGCATCCTCTGTGGATCTGTTACATCGGTAGGTAAACTGTAGGGGAGCGAGGCAGGTTGGGAGCTGATGTGGGCCATGTCCAGCCTTGAGGCACTTCATGACTGTTGAGGTCAGAGCTATTGGGCGGTAGTCATTAAGGCACACTGCGTGTGTTTTCTTGAGTACGGGGATGATGGTGGTCTTCTTGAAGCAGGTGGGGATTTCTGTTTGCAGCGGGGAGAGGTTGAAGATGTCGGTGAATACCTCTGCCAGATGGTCAGCACAGAATCTGAGTGCTTGGCCAGGAACACCATCTGGGTCTGTCGTTTTCCTTGGGTTGACTCCCAGGAAGACCAATCTAACTTTGGAAGTAGTGACAGAGGGAACAGGTGTGCCTGGGGCTATTGGGGCAGGCGTTGCCACACCAGTGGTATTCTGCTCAAACCGAGCATAGAAAGCATTGAGCACATCAGGGAGGGATGTGTCATTGTCCGCTATCTTACACTGTTTCATTTTGTATCCTGTAATATCATTTAGGCCTTGCCATAGACGGCAAGAGTCTGTCTGGTAAGTCTGAGCCTCTAACTTGGTCCGTTACTGCCCCTTGGCCTCCCTGATGGCTTTACAAAGATCGTATCTTCATTTACTGTGTTGGTCCAGGTCACCTGACTTTGAATGCTGGTGCAAGGGTTATTGCTGGCTCAGTGTTAACACTGATCTTGAGGCATTCCTAACTTTGTGGCAGCCGCTGTTAACAATAAGAATGGTAAATGCTTTATGGCACAAAGCCGCTACTTTCCTCCTGGTAACGGCAACATTTGCTCTTTAATAAATGTGGAGAATGAAGTGTGAAATGAGTAGAATGTTTACTGAGTAGATTGGGATTATATTCATTGGAATTCAGAAGATTGAGGGGGATCTTATAGAAACATATAAAATTATGCAGGGAATAGATAAGATAGAAGTAGAGAGGATGTTTCCACTGGCAGGTGAAGCTGGGACAAAAGGGCATAGCCTCAAGATTAGAGGGAGCAGATTTAGGACTGAATTGGAACTTCTTCACCCAGAGGGTTGTTAATCTATGGAATTCCTTGCCCAGTGAAGTAGTTGACGCTACTTCAGTAAACGTTTTTAAAGATAAGGTAGATTTTTTTTGAACAATAAAGGAATGAAGGGATACGGTGAGAACGCGGGTAAGTGGATCTGAGTCCATGAAAAGATCAGCCCTGATCTTATTGAATGGCGGAGCAGGCTCGAAGGGTCGGAAGGCCTACTGCTGCTCCTAGTTCTTATGTTCTTATGTTCTTAAATAAGTCTTTCATGCTTTCAGAAGTTGCTGTTTTATGTGCGTTGTATAAGAACACAATCTTTGCAGAGGTAGTAGGAACTGCAGATGCTGGAGAATCTGAGATAACAAGGTGTAGAGTTGGATGAACACAGCAGGCCGAGCAGGAAAGCTGACGTTTTGGGTCTAGACCCTTCTGATCTAGGCCCAAAACGTCAGCTTTCATGCTCCTCTGATGCTGCTTGGCCTGCTGTGTTCATCCAGCTCTACACCTTGTTACCTCACAACGTTTGCACTTTTGGAGAAAGACGTACACGATCCCACACACCTCACACAAACTAGATTGTGAAACATGCATGTACACCTCCACTTGCACAGGCTCACAAAGTCTCACAGCTTGTAGCTGCTAACATCCGTTTTCACAATTTGATGACCCTTGATAGCCTTGGCAAATAAGGTTAAAAACAATCCAAAAATTCTACAAGTACATTAAGAGCAAGAGAGTTGGGGCCCTTAAAGACCAATGAGGTTGTCTTTTGCACTCCTACGGTGTTGAACCTCAGCAGATGGGAGAGATAGTAAATGAATATTTTGTCAGTTTTAACTGTGGAGAAAGAAGTGAAGGGTAGAAAACTCAGGGAAATAAATATTGATGTTCTGTGAACAGTTCACATTACAGAAGAGCAAGTCCTGGAGGGTTTGGAAGATGTAAAGGTGGATGAATCTCTGGGTCCTGATCTAGTGTATCCCGGGACTTGGTGTGAAGTTAGGGAGGAAATTGTGGGACCCCTTGCAGAAATATTTGTATCATCTATAACTACGGATGAGGTGCCAGATGACTGGAGATTGGCTTATGTAGTGCCTTTGTTTAAGAAGGGATGTAAGGAGAAGTCTAGGAACTATACACCTGTGAGTCTGACTTTGGTGGTGGGTAAGTTGTTGGAGTGATTTTGAAAGGTAAGATTTATATGCATTTGGAGAGGCATGAAATGATTAGGGATGGTCAGCATGGTTTTGTGTGAGGGAAATCGTGACTCACAAAGTTGAATGAGTTTTTTGAGGAAGTAACGAAAAAGATTGATGCAGGCAGCGCAGTAGACATTGGTTACTTGGACCTTAGTAAAGCGTCTGACAAGGTTCTGCGTGGTAGACAAATTAGAAAAGTTAAATCGCATAGGATTCAAAATCGTGAATCTGGACAAACAATTAGGGAGAGCCGCTCCCTCTGACAAAAGGAGCTGGTGCTGGAGGACACCGATTTAAAGTGATAGGTACGTGCAGGGATACTGATTTGAGGAAAATCTTTACTTGTGCAATAAGTGTTTTAAGATATGGATTGTATTGTCTGAGTGGGCTGCTTTTCAATGGATTTGGATAATTATCAGAAGATTAAATCTTTGTCATGTTGCAGGGAAGATGGGGCATGGGACTCGGCAAGTTACTCTGGCAGAGAGCATGAGGGAAAGAAGCTGAATGGCCTCTTTCTGGGCTGTAACCATTCTATGATTCTATTCTGTGGTTACTTTCATAAAGCATAACTTCAAAGTGACCATCGTTCATGATGAATGGGGTAAACAAGTATAAGTGCTAATTGGATACAAAATTGGCTTAATTGCAGGAGACAGTGTGTGAAGATGGACGGTTGTTTTTCAGGCTGGAGGCCTGTGACCACCGGTGTTCCACAGGGATCAGTGCTGGGTCCACTTTTATTTGTTGTTTATACAAATGATCTAGAAGACATGGTTGGTAAGTTTGCGGATGGCACCAAAATTGGTGGCAGAGTGAACAATGAAGGAGGTTGTCTAAGATTACAAAGAGATCTTGATTAATTGGGTCAATGGGCTGAAGTGTGGCAGATGGAGTTTAATTTGGATAAATGCGAGGTATTGCATGTTGGTAAAACAAACAAGGGCAGGATTTACAGTTAAAAATAGGGTTGAGTGGCGTTGTAGAATAGAGAGACCTAGGGGTTCAGGTGCATAATTCTTTGAACTGTGCATCACAGATAAACAGGGTGGTTAAGAAGGTGTTTAGCACACTTGTCTTCATTGCTCAGACATTTGAGTATAGGAGTTGGGACGTTATGTTGTTGTTGGTGAGGCCTCTTCTGGAGTACCCTGTCTAGTTCTGGTTGCCCTGTTATAGGAAGGATATTCTTAAGCTGGAGAGGATTTGGATGAGATCTACCAAGGTGTTGTTGAGAACAGAGGGTTTATAAGAGGAGGCTGGATAGGCTAGGACTTGTTTCACCAGAGCATAGGGGGCTGAGGGGTGACCTTATAGAGGTTTATAACATCATGAGGGGGTATAGATTAGGTGAATGGCAGGTGTCTTTTCCCTAGAGTGGGGGATTTCAAAACAAACGGGCATGTTTTTTAAGGTGACGAGAGAAAGATTTTAAGAAGACGTGAAAGCAATTTTTTTTACACAGAGATTAGTTCATGTGTGGACTGAACTGCCAGAGAAAGTGGTGGATGCAAGGTATAGTTACAATGTTTAAAAGATATTTGGATAAGTACATGAATAAGAAATGTTTGGAAGGATATGGGCCAAGTGCAGGCAGGCGGGACGAGTTTAGTTTGGGATTATGGTCGGGCGAGTCTGCTTGGACTGAAGGGGCTATTCCGTGCTGTATGATTTCTTTGCAATCTTTGTGTATCGATGCCTTATATAACTAGGTTTCTTTCCCCTGAGGTTTGACCTGTGAGGCTAGTGAAGTTGCCTGCTGAGAGTGAAGTTTCGCCCTGTACAATAGTGTGAACAGAGGTGTCGTCAGCTTTGTACTCTAAGTAGAATTTGAGACAAACCTGTCTGCAATATGTTTGATTCTAATTTCCTGCCTCCATTTGGTTTTGATGGAATTTCTTCTCCTTTTATTCACAGCCCTTTAAATTCATTAAATATCCTGCACCATGTACTGAAAAAAGTTTCAAGGTGAGTACTGTCTGTCTGTGACAAAGTCTTCTATGCTTTATTAACTACTTTTAACTTGTGCTGCCCCCTTCAGTGTGTCTGTCTGTGAGCATCTGTGTGAATATGCCTATGTTATGCTGTTTTGTCTTTCATAAGATGTGATTGTTGCTGATAAAGCCAACAATTGTTGCTCATCCCTATGTGCCCTTTTCTGTATGATTTTATGCTGAAAGGCTTTTGACACCCAAGATGTGTGCACAGTGATGAACAGAGCAATGTGTTTTTCTCTCTACACTTCAACCAAATAAATGGCCATTGATAATTTTGAGAAATCCTTACAGTAGCAGCATGTTGACAAACATAAACTCCCTAACGCTTGTTGTACCCCGTGAGGGGTGGTCAGTTTGAAGTTATTATGGAAGTTACCATAGAATAGAATCATAGAACAGTTATATCCCAGAAAGAGGCCATTCAGTCTCTTTTTTTCGGCACTGGCCCTCTGCCAGAGTAATTCGCCCAGTCCCACACTCATATCTTCCCGGCAGCTCTATAAATATTTACTGTTCCGAACATTATCTAACTCCATTGAAAAATAATCCATTCAAACAATGATTTCCAGATCTTAAACACTTGTTGTATAATTAAAGGTTTTCCTCACTTTCAATCTATGTCCTCTGGCACCAGATCCTTTTGCCAAAGGAAATAGTTCTCCTTAACTGGTTTGTCCACACTCATGATTCTGAACACCTCTGTTAAAGTTGTTCTTTATGTTTTCTTGTCCAACTGTCCCAACTTCTCTGTCCTTGTAAATGAAGTTCCTAAAGCCACCCTCTGAATCCTCCCTAAAATGTGGTGCCCTAGGCTGGTTGCAGTAATTCAGTTGAGGCTGAACCAGTGCTTTGTAGGAACAGTAAGCCAGGCGGCCCTCCAGCCTTGGCTGCCATTCTGTCAGTTTGTGGGTGATTTTTGGCCTAACTCCATATTCCTGCCTCTAGGCCGCTAAAATACCTTTGCTTAACAAAATTTATCCAGCTCACATTTAACATTAACAGCTGATCCAGCATCAACTGCCATTTGTGGAACAGAGTTCCAAACATTTACCATACTTTGTGTCTATAAGTGCTTCTCAACATCTTTCCTGAATGCTCCTGCCCTCATTCTCAGATTGTGCTCCCTAGGTTTAGAATCCCAAACTGATGGAAATAGTTTATCTACCCGCTTTTTTTTCCTGTTAATATCTTGAGGACTTCGATCAGATCACCCTTTAACCTGCTATATTGTAGACAGGCCTAACCTCTCCTCATAGTGTAACCCTGAAGTCCAGGTATCATTTTTTTAAATACAGGTTTATGTGCTTTCTTTTATCTCTGTGTTCCTCTTTATAAAGTCTTCTATGCTTTATTAACTACTTTCAACTTGTGCTGCCCCCTTCAATGATTTGGATGTGCATATCCCCAGGTTTTCTGTCCCTGGATAGAACTGTGCCCTTTTCTTTCCTATTGCTTCTCCTTGTTTTATCTCCCAAAATGAATCACCTTGTATTTCTTTGCATTAGTTTTCTTTCCTACCATTCCATCAACCAGCCCTCGTCATTTTGTGTCTTCCTCCTGTTTCACAATGCTTCCAATTTCACAACATCCACAATCCTGAAGTTGTGCTCTGTCCAATCAAGTCGAGGCCATTAACACCGGTCAGGGAAAGCAAGGGTTCTGACACCGGGGTCCTAGGCAACCCCACTGGATATATTTCTCTATCCAAGAAAAGATTCCACCACGGTATTCTGTTTCCTAACGCTCAGCCATTTTTAGCTCCCATGCTTTGACATGGAAGTCCATGTATGCCACATGAACCCACTTAACCAACATCAACGCTCCCAGTTATACATTGAAACCTCAAGTAGGTTAGTGAAAGCAGGGGCAGAAACGCCTTCAAAGTACCAGACAAATGCATACTCTGACCACATAATCTGCACTTTCAGCAGCCTTTTCCCCCCCAGCACTCCACCCGCCCCCTCCCCACTATAGCAGAAATGCGGTCCCCTCCACACTTCACTTCAGCTCTGATGAAGTCATCTAGACTCAAAATGTTAGCTTGCTCTCTGTCCATGGATGCTATCTGACCCCCTGTGATTTCCAGCATTTTTTTTTGTTTTCAGAACAGATTCCAGCATCTGCAGTAATTTGCTCTGACAATGTGGGTTAACAATGTTCTGCAGGGGTTCTGGCTGTATATTGTGACACCACCTGAATTCCTCCAAGCCCCGGTGTCATCTTTGGAGAGAGAGCTCCAGATTTCCACTGCCCATTTTGTTGCAGAAATGCTTCCTGATGTCACCCCTGAACAACCTTAAAATAACTCCACTGAGGCTGGTATCCTGTCACCACATCACCCTTTATCTACACTTGCAGAGTACATGACACTGACCCAGCGAGCTCAGAGCCAGCTCCCAGAGTGAGCAGAACCCCTGACACTCCTGTTTATAGCTGTCAGCCAGGGCTCCCTGATTGGACCACATTAACAGCCCCATTCATATTCTCTTTCCAATCGGTACAAACCTGGCTAAGATAACAAGGTGTAGAGCTGGATAAACACAGCAGGCCAAGCAGCATCAGGGGAGCAGGAAGGCTGACGTTTCGGGCCTAGACCCTTCTTCAGAAACCTGGCTGTCGTTTTAACGTTGTGTCCCTTTGTTCTGGACTTGGGGAGAAAGGAAATCTTGTGGTTTTACTTGTTGATTCTCAGTGTAAGCACAGCCAAGGGGAGTGTGGACAATGCTGTAATGCATTGTACCCTGATGACAGGGTACACAGGCTCTGTGCCATTTCCTGCATGAGAGAATGAGATTGCCTTCGTTTATCGTGAATGTTATGACTGAGAACTTTTTTTCTTTGCACCCTAGTTTACCAGAAGGCAAATACCTGTTGAGTCACTCCTCGGGAGACTCGTCCATAACCATCTATCGTGGCTCTCAAGGAGGGAAGTACACCAGAGCAGCCTACAACCTCCATGCTGCCCACAGTACGCTCCCTCCACCTCCATCGACTCTCTCGGTGCCCTGGGTACCTCTGGATCCCAATATGTTACTGCCTTACCACATCCACCATGGCAGAGCTCCCTGTACCTTCCCTCCCAAGCCCTCCGAGGAGCTTCAAAACCTGCAGGTTTGTTTGTTTTTATTACCTTTTTCAGCATGTAGGCCGAGCTCCAGTGTTGTAAGTTTGTGAAGTCTTGGAGAAAAATGTTTCTCTTTGGTTAAAGTGTCAGTCTCCTGAGAATTTTTTAAAATTTGCTTATGAGATGTGGGCATCACTGGCTAGGCCTGTATTTATTTACTGCCCTTTGTTAAGAGTCAACCACATCACTATGGGTCTGGAGTCACGTGTAGGCCAGACCAGGTAAGGATGGCAGTTTCCTTCCCTAAAGGACATTAGTGAACCAGATGGGTTTTTCCTGATCCTCAGCAACAGTTTCATGTCCATCATTAGACTCTTAATTTCAGATTTTTTTTATTGAATTCAATTTCCACAATCTGCCATGGCGGGATTCAAACCCGGGTCCCCAGAACATTATCTGGGTCTCTGGATTAATGGTTCAGTGATAATACCACGAGGCCACTACCTTCCCTAAGATTTGATTCTTAGCAGACTGGACCCATTTTCTCCTTTTCACACCTTTATTTCCATCTTTACATCTCAATTTTCCTTTCACCATCATGAGCAAACCCTTTGTCTTTTGCACTGGGCACCCTCCCCACAATCTGTTACATTCATTCCCCTACCACTTTGTCTGCAGTGCAAAATAGACACAATTTTCCATCCCTGTACACTTGCGTTCCCCATACAGATGGCCGAAAGGCCCTCCGCTTCTTCCTGTCCCGCAGGCCCGACCAGTCCCCTTCCACTGACACCCTCATCCACTTAGCTGAACTCGTCCTCACCCTTAACAACTTCTCCTTCAATTCCTCCCACTTCCTATAGACAAAGGGGGTGGCCATGGGTACCCGCATGGGCCCAAGCTATGCCTGCCTCTTTGTAGGTTACATGGAACAATCCCTCTTCTGCAGCTACACTGGCCGTAAACCCCACCTCTTCCTCCGTTACATTGATGACTGTATCGGCGCCGCCTCGTGCTCCCACAAGGAGCTCGAACAGTTCATCCACTTCACCAACACCTTCCACCCCAACCTTAAGTTCACCTGGACCATCTCTGATACCTCTCTCTCCTTCCTGAACCTCTCTGTCTCCATCTCTGGCATCCACCTGGAAACCGATATCCATTTCAAGTCTACTGACTCCCACAGCTACCTAGAATACACCTCCTCTCACCCACCTTCCTGCAAAAAGACCATCCCGTATTCCCAATTCCTTTGCCTCCGCCGCATCTGTTCCCGAGATGAGGCATTCCACTCCTGGACATCCCAGATGGCCTCGTTTTTCAAGGACCGCAACTTCCCCTCCACAGTGGTCGAAAATGCCCTCGATCGTATCTCTCGCATTTCCCGCAACTCATCCCTCACACCCCCTTCCCGCAATAACAACCAAAACAGAATCCCCCTCGTCCTCACGTACCACCCCACCAACCTCCGGATCCAACGCATCATCCTCCGACACTTCCGCCACCTGCAATCTGACCGCACCACCAAAGACATTTTTCCCTCCCCACCCTTATCTGCTTTCCGGAGGGACCTCTCTCTCCGTGACTCCCTTGTCCGCTCCACAATCCCCTCCAGCCCCACCACCCCCGGCACTTTTCCCTGCAACCGCAGGAAGTGCTACACCTGCCCCTACACCTCCCCCCTCACCCCCATCCCAGGCCCTAAGAAGACCTTCCACATCAAACAGATGTTCACCTGCACATCTGCTAATGTGGTATACTGTATCCGCTGTTCCCGTTGTGGCCTCATCTACATCGGGGAAACCAAGCGGAGGCTTGGGGACCACTTTGTGGAGCACCTACGCTTGGTTTGCAACAAACAACTGCACCTCCCAATCGCGAACCATTTCAACTCCCCCCTCCCACTCCCCGGACAACATGTCCATCCTGGGCCTCCTGCAGTGCCACAACGATGCCACCCAAAGGTTGCAGGAACAGCAACTCATATTCCGCTTGGGAACCCTGCAGCCCAATGGTATCAATGTGGACTTCACAAGCTTCAAAATCTCCCCTCCCCCTACCGCATCCCAAAACCACTCCAGCTCGTCCCCGCCTCCCTAACCTGTTCTTCCTCCCACCTATCCCCTCCTCCCACCTCAAGCCGCATCCCCATCTCCTACCTACTAACCTCATCCCGGCCCCTTGACCTGTCCGTCCTCCCTAGACCGACCTATCCCCTCCCTAACTCCCCACCTACACTCACCTTTACAGGCTCCATCCCCGTCTCTTTGACCTGTCTGTCTCCTCTCCACCTATCCTCTCCTCTATCCATCTTCTATCCGCCTCCCCCTCTCTCCCTACTTATTTCAGAACACCCTTCCCCTCCCCCATTTCTGAAGAAGCGTCTAGGCCCGAAACGTCAGCCTTTCCGCTCCTCTGATGCTGCTTGGCCTGTTGTGTTCATCCAGCTCTACACCTTGTTATCTCGGATTCTCCAGCATCGGCAGTTCCTGCCATCTCTGTAACAATTTTCCATCCCCCTCAGTTCTGAGGAAGACATATCACATGATGTGGTAGCTCGGTTTTTCTCTCCACAGATGCTGTCAGACCTGCTGAGTTTCTCCAGCACTTTCTGATTTTTGTTTCAGCAGCAATGGTATTTTGCTTCCAAATTTATCTCTGGAACTTTGTTGGCAAATGCGATGAGGAGTTCAACATTATTGAACACGGAACTGACTCCACACCAGTGTAATCCAGTTTAGACATATGTTTTAAACTGCCCACACCCCACTCCAAAGCTGACATGTGGAACCCTAACTCCTATAACACAACACCCAGCAGCCAAAAGCGGGGGCAGGTCATTGCCAGGGTTTGAGAGACACCCCCCCACACCTCCTGCTTACCTTAACCCTCCCCCACACTGAGAGGGGCTGGCCCCACGCTGAGATATACACACCTCTTCCTGTGCTGAGACAGAAAAACCTTTGCCCCACTCACTGTGGGAGTCCCCCTTGTGCCACCTTCCATGTACTGAGTAAGATGCCTCTCACTGTGGTCAAGGGACATCCCCTCCCCCTCCATCCCTACCCCTCTTACCCGCCCCTTGTCTCTTTCTCTGCCCTTC